AGAGAGAGAGAGAGAGAGAGAGAGAGAGAGAGAGAGAGAGAGAGAGAGAGAGAGAGCACAGTTACTGACGTTGTTTTCTAGTTCTAAATACTATTACCGTTCGGTATATGTATAACAATGACTAACTAACTTAGCGCAGCTTATTTAATTATATTGAATCTGTATTCTTTCATAATTATACGTATTACATTATTATATCTTTCTCAAATCCAGGCACTAAATATCTTTCTCTTTCTCTGCCCTTCTTTAAAATTTGAACACATTTCATACATGGCTTATTGTTAGATTTCTTAACTTGTAACTATTTTAAAGAACAGAAAAGACACGAAGAGAGTATTAAAATGGAAATTTTGACGGGTCGATTATTGAACCGTCTTTGAATTTACACGAAAAAAAACTGCATGTGGTAAACTAAATTTCGGTTGTAAAATATGGACAGCTATTTTAGTTGTGGTAGCTGATATTTTGCAACTGCGCCTATTGTATTAGGTGCGACAGCAAACCATTTGCTGTGGTTTAGAAATTTATAGTTATAGCAGCACAATATTTTTAGCACGTCATGATTAGTTACGGTAGCGGAAATTTGTTTTCAGCGTACGTGTCAGTTTTTCATCAATTTGCTGAGACTTCCTTTAAAAATATGTATGATAAAAATGACACAAATTATTGACGTCACACTCTGTCGAGTATAACAAGTGTGAGTAAAAAGAAAATTTTGAAGCTGACAAGCTTCATTGTGCTACGTATTTATATACGCAAGCAATAGCAGATAAAATATATTAGAATAAATACCAAGTTCGAAAATTATGGTTTAAGAATAAAGATCATTTTAGACGATCTATATCCTTCACAGCCAGAATACGATGTAAAAGAGTGAGAACAAGTGTCCATTATCTCTGGAACGTTAAATAGGTACACTCTGAGACTGACATATTTGTAATCGGCTTGACGAGACCTTTCGTTTGGTACCTACTTTGTGACCAAAATCGAATGCGAAAAAAAATGGGGCCGATCTTGTTCTCTCACTATTTAATTTGTTATTTCGCTCGAGATAGTGTGTTCACCTGCACGGGCTGTCCATCACGACTCCTCCGTCGCCACAATGATGTGAAAGCGCGATGTTTTTGAAGGTAACAACTATCACGCAGGACGGACAGGTGACTAATTCGAGGCTGCATTGATGATGGGAACTGTTGACGGTGGTGGCGTAAAGACGCGGCATAAGTTGTCTCGGTGAATTTCTGACGAAAGTTACGTTCTTCGCGTAGAGGATGCCCTTCTCGCCCAGCTCCACATAAAGACGTCTGCCATTATGAGGCCCACAAATGTCCTCGTTTCGTATAATGTTCCCAGCCGTTGCGAAGATCCACCAGAACGTCACGAAGATCACTTGTATCCGCGACAGCATTTTATGAAAGAAACGTGCGAAATGCTAACGGATTAATTGCCGCAGGCTTATAGAAAATATATACAATCTTCGAGAGGAACAGATAAGATATAAAATATAGAGGATAAATAGAGAGAGAAAGAAACATGAGGTCTAACTAATATCTAAAAATAACTATCCTTATTTTTTGACGTGCTTAAATCGAAAACTTTGCTAGTATTTTCTGTAAATTGCCGCGAACGAACGGCGCCGATCACTGTATTCCTTACCATATTTGGATTGAGACATATTCGTAGCACGGAAAGCGACGTTCTGCACTTTCCGCCAGGAAACCCGACGTAATTGTGTATAATTTCGTTAGCACGGAGACGCTGTCATATACCTCACTAATATCGAATAAGGCACTCTTATGGCATCCCTCGAGCACATGGAGATCACGTCGTTCGTGCAGTTTACACTACCCCGCAAAGTACAACCAGATAATATCATGGTAAAATTGGTAGATATTAAAAACTGTCTTGTGTAATAAAATTGTCTTATCTTTTTAGATTTTTTACTTTAAATTTAGCCAATTAGCTTCGTTCTTGCTTTTCGAAGTCAATCGTACATTCGTGACTGTAAATAGATAAATGATAAGTGCAATTTATTTATTTCTTTGAAATAAATTATGCGACTTCGTCTTCTGAGATAAAGAAGGAATAAAAATGACAATTATGGCGAAAAATATTTTTGTTGTAACATCTCAGCAAATAAAATATTGCATGTCGTTTCCTAATCCTTAGTAGCACAATACGTTGGCGCAATATTGGGAAATATGTAAATCTAATATTCCCAACATTGGTCCAATATTGTAAGATGGACGTCTCTTCTTATTTAGCCATTATGCCTACTAGGCAATATTGGTCTAATATTGTATCGATATCAAATCAATATTAGACCATATTCGTATTATACTGATAAATATTGGCCAATGCATTTCCTATATAAATCTATTATATAATTATTCTTGCGCAATATTTATTTCGTGGCCAATATTGGCTTTAAAACAAATAGTTAGACACATAATAGTCTAGTTTACACCGATTATTTGATACGCGTATCAAATAGTGTATTTCAACTGATTAGCCAATGACTAAATCCATTTACTAGTTATTTACTATTTGATACGCGTATTAAATAATCGGTGTAAACTAGGCCTATAGCAATGAATCGCAATTGAGTATTAAAAAATCATAATTTTTTCGCTATTGTTTTAACGTTGCAGCAACATAAAGAGTCAATGTAAAAAATTAACTTAGATTCAACGTTGAAAACATATTTATACTTCAACATTCTACATTGCAACGTTTCAGCAACATTTAACTTTCTGTGATGTATAGGTAACCTGAATTACTTATAAAGTCATAGTTTTAATTTCTCTTTGTGTTTTTAATATAAAGTCGACTGTTCTTGATTTTATCATTATGCGTACTTTAATTGTGTGGAAGAATTTTAAAGCCAATTTCAAATTTAGTTAGAAGTACGAATTGAAAATTTCAAATACCAATATCTTTTTTACTAGACTTCTAAACTGAGTGTTTTAAGTATAAAAATGTTCTGCTACGCGGTCCGCAACTTATCCTGGTATTATTTTGTGCGTAAAAGCTAATAAAAAGAATTACAAGCGCGAAAACTATATTTGACTGTGTCGGTAACAAAGTTAGCTGAAGGAGTTCGCCGGCTGAGGCATATATCCTCTTGTTGTGACGCGGTAGCGATACGTTAGCGAGTTATGAGAGACCCTGATCTACTGACGGATATCCCAGAGCTGCCGAATGATTCGCCCAAAATGGATCTCAGCATTCACGCGGAGAGACAAAGGTTCCCTTTCTGCATCGTTTGGACCCCGTTGCCCATCCTGACGTAAGTCGTTCTCGGTTAAATGCGTTCTGACCATAACCTCGTCTTTGATTCTACACATTTAATATTCGTCGAGGTGGCAACGCTTATTATTTATTGTACGTTGACAACTCTCACAAAATGTGACAATTCGTGAAGTGTATAAACTTCTTTCTCAAAGTCCTGCAATTGATATAAGCATTTGTTCATTTTCAAGATACATCCTGCCCTTCATCGGACACATGGGCATTGCGACGTCAACGGGAGTGATAAGGGATTTTGCTGGCCCTTACTATGTTTCCGAAGATAACATGGCATTCGGTAAACCTACGAAATATTGGCAACTGGATTATACCAAGGCCAAGGGAGGCGTACAAGGATGGGACGCGGGTGTAATGGAAGCTAGCGAGATTTACAAAGCTAGAATGGTAAGAAAACCATTTGGCAAATGAATTCGAAGGGTAGGAGGTCTCTATTTGTAACTGCGGACAAAGACTGACTTTCTTACAGCACAATCTATGCTGTGACAACTGTCATTCGCATGTGGCGACAGCTTTGAACCTGATGTCGTATGGTGACTCGAGCAATTGGAACATGGTAAAACTTGCGTTCCTGATGTTGATTCACGGAAAGTATGTCAGGTAGAAACAAAATATGTGTTCAAAAAGAAATATCTCATTCTTTTTTCTCTATTATCACCAAGATTTATCATGTTTGTTTCAGTGTTCTGGGCTTTCTTAAGACCTGGTTACCCTTTTTCATACTTGTTACAATTATATTGACATTAAGTTTGTGTGTAAGTTAAGTACATATAGGTATAAGTGCATAGGGTAAGTGTATCAGTGACTAATACCTGCCACTTCTGTTAAGAAAATAAGGCAACTGAACACGGGATACATATAGACTACAGTGTTTGCCCCTTGAAGTGACAGTTCAAATCTATATCCTGTTTTCACATCTAATTTTTTTCTAACAAAAGTAGCAGGCGTCAACTACTGGTACTAGTTACCTTGTATATTATAAAATGTCAATTTACAGTTATAGATTTATCATGTCACTTTATAATTATCCCAAAACATTTTACGAGATACTCTACGAGAATTTGGCAAGTAAGAACATCCTTATATACAGGGTGTCTGATAAGTTTGTTCTCAACCGAAATATGTAGATAGATTAGGGCAAGCTGAAGAGAAAAATCAGATACCATGATGCAAAATCCGCAATAGTTATTGAGTTATTAATTATTACGTCTAAGCGAATGAACACGCGGAAACAGGCTCCCTTGCCGCTCGCGCGCGGCCCGCTACGCCCACCGAGCCCGGCCTACACTCGGAAGCCTGTTTCCGCGCGTTCATTCGCTTAGACGTAATAATTAATAACTCAATAACTATTGCGGATTTTGCATCATGGTATCTGATTTTTCTCTTCAGCTTGCCCTAATCTGTCTACGTATTTCGGTTGAGAACAAACTTATCAGACACCCTGTATTAATATATTGTAGCTTTTCTGAAACGGCAGTTTTTGGCGTTGCATCCTTAAGTGCGGGAGATGCAGCAAGATCGTAAGGGATGCCATGCCAAACTTTAGCAGAACACATCTGTCTACATTTATTAGATATAAATATAATTTATTTTCTTTCAGTTTTGCAACTTAAAATGCGCATACACATTGTCTATATAAGCGTTATGTAACAATAAAATTAAGTCCAAGATGTATGGCTCTTCCATGACGTTACGCGTTCTGTATACATGTATGTGTGTACGCCTAAAGAAAGTAATTATTTTTGTCTATTATTTTACATTTTTACTTATATACAGCTGTATAATCGATACAACTTTTAAAGCACTTTTCAACGTGTCATAAAACGTGCAATATCAAACGTGTGCTTTAATCACATCTGTAGCAGTATGGCAATAGTGTGGCACTGAAACTATCTCCCTAAACAACTTAAATATATAAAAATTTAATCTTACGTATACTTTTTTCCCCATAATGATTGATGCCTACAAGTCAATTTTCTTCTCAAACGCATTTGTACACTTTCTTTTTCGCAATCACTTTAAATGTCACGTTATTTGTTCTTAAAAGATAGGAACGCTTTAAAACAGTGCGGTCTGTGTAGAATATAAGAATCAAACTTAAAGTCTATTACAGTGTTATTATACCGAACAACGTTAACTTCTTAAAAAATAACTTTATTATATGTTCATCTAATTAAGAAATACATACGTATTTAAGTTTGATTCTTTAATTCGTAGAATTTTCGTTACACATATCCATTTACATAACAATCGGAGTTCAAGTTAGTCGTCAGTTCTGCTGTCCATTTCTGTAATAACCCCCGTTTCAAGGGAGAAGTCGTAATCGTAATTCTGATCCTCTAATCTTTCTACGAAAGACATTATTTCGCTAATCCGTAGACCGTCTATCTCTAAGTCGTTGTTCATGTTACTTTGCAACTGTTTGCACAACTTGAATGGCACGCCGCTTAGATAGTGCGGAGCGTCCACTTGCTGAGCTAGCTTGGGTAAATTGCCAACCGACATTGTGGGGTTCAACGGTGTTCCGCCTATGAACGGATACAATCCACCGGGATATGGCGCACCCTGGTCACCAACGTTGGGTGGCAAGGAGGTTCGCCTTCTTTCGATAACTATGAAGTCGTCCCCTGGGTCCGCGGGAGGCCGTTCCTCTTGCTCATCCCTGGATTCGGGAGGTGAATCCCTGTGCTTCTTTTTGCCAAAGAGCCAAGACATCTTCTGCAAAATTTTCTACTTGACAACTTGTCCGGATTCTTTCGCGTAATTAGATAAATAGCAGTAACACTTAGGCCGGCACTCGTAGTCAGATCTTATATTTAAGACTATTTTAAGATCCTAAGATGCTGTACGGAACATTTTAAACAGAGTAAAGATAATCTTAAGACGATCATAAAAGATCTGACTATGAATACCGCCTATAGTCAGATCTTATGCATATTCAAGACCGTCTTAAATTTATCTAAAAATGCTGTATGGAATATTTCATTTGCTACGGAATAAAGATGTTCTTAAGACGCTCTCTTAGGCCCAGTCTACAACGAGTTGTTGGTCAGAAGTCAGAACTATACGTCGGTCCTTTTTCTTCCACCCAGAAAGGAAAAGGACCGATGTATAGTTCCGACTTCGGACTAACGACTAACAACTTCTTGTAGACCGGGTCTCAAATATAACATCTTACTACAAATACCCCCCTTAGATGTAGTCAAAATCGAGGGGGAAACCGCAGACCAAAATGTTGTACACCAATGCCCACTAATGCCCAGTGTGCATTACTTTATCTTCTTATCTTATATTATCTTAATTTATCTTTATAACGCCCTAGCAAGGCCTAATACCCAAACTAATGCCCAAAAAATGCCTAGTAATGCCGCAAATCTGTACACCACAATGTCTTCAACGGTTTTCACCTCTGTTAAAATTAGACGTATCCATCCGTAAATAACGTATCTCGTGCGAAAGCCACACTAAATAAAAAACGAATAGCACAAACTTTGAAAAGTCGAGGCTACTTTGTCTGCAGCAATAGATGAAAATTAAAAAGTCATACTTCTGCTCCTCGTAGCAACTGGAGCAAAAGCGGTATAGGCTAACCTAATGAAAAGGAAGTAAAACGATGAACATCAGCAAACGGAAAACATTTAGTTTACAACGTATTATCACGGAATTGCAAGCACTTCTAGGGTGGTGTCTGCAAAAGTCCATTTCTAACTTTTGTCTCTCGCCAACTCTAAACTCTAACCTCCGATTTAACGGCGCGAAAGTGAAGGACGTCGCCTCGCAAAAATTCGTCAGCCTTCGAGAGAGCAAATGAGAGGCTCGAGCTGTCACGATGGAAAAAGATTACGGATAGCCCGATAAGATCGTGCACGGGGAAAAATCGCAGAACTTACGTGCAGGCGGGTTAAGAAACTAAGGAAAAGGTGAAGTCTACGGCACACTCAACGAACGGTCTGTGCTACAAACTGACCATCCTGCTGTCGCTTTTTGTCAGTCTCTTCCTCGGGATTGACAAGTCGCCGTAGAAAACGCCAAGTTTTGACACGAGCTACCGACACCTCGGACGTTGAAGCGAGGTGCGGAATAGTACGTGCAGTAACGCGAAGCTGCTTATCGAAATAACAAGCTTGCCTGTCCCCTCGCCAGATGTCAATAAGTCAATCGGTGTCTTAGCAGCACTTTGCGCACTTAAGTAAAATGTATGTATGTACATATATTGGATGCGTGCATTGTTTGTCTCCGAGAGAGATAGAGACAGGTGTAGAAAGTGCAGCTGACAACGTGAACTTGAACGCTGCGGGAACGACGCGGTGACGTCATTGCGAGTTACGAGCGAGCGATCGAAGTTGCAGCGGCGCCAATTATCTATCCTCTTTATCTGACAATAAGCAGTTTCTATTCTATTCTACCCCTGGGAAAATTTACTTTAACTGAAATTGAAAATTTTAAAAGTAATCTTTCAGATCTAAAAGTTTACTTAGGCCCGGTTTCACCGTTAATTTAATCGGTAGTTAATCTAATCGGTCGGTTAACTTAACAGGGTGCCAACAGCCAAACATAAAACTGATACCAAGAAAATAGGTTAATAATGAAGTTAATAATGAAGTTTTATGTTGGCACCCTGTTAAGTTAACCGACCGATTAGATTAATTCGCGTTGGTGAAACCGGGCCATAAAGAAGTTAAAAGTTTACTAAAGAAATTTTAGGGATATTTTCAACACTTGGGTCCGATTTCACCAACGTCTTTCCCATTTTACTTCAAACATCTTCATACGAAAAACAAACGATCGCATATGGTACAGTCAACTGTGACCGATATCGCTATCGCTGTCCTGTTTACACGAACCACCGCTAGATGGTAGCGCCACATCGAATTACGCGCTTGGCGACGTGGAAAGCAGCGGAAACTTGGACGGTCGGAGATTCATCGCTCGTGGACAAATCCCGCGATTGTTGAGTAAGTTGTCGAGTCGAGAGCAACTAAAGTAACGTCAATTCGTTCCGTTTTCGATTATTCTACACGAAACGCGAATATTTCAACTACCAACTCGACGCGCATTTACACCGGCGTCTCGCGAGGTACGTGCGCGCGCGTCAATAGGTTTCCCTGCAAATCGAGTTAACTGCGCTCCAACGTTGGCCCGCGGCGTTTATCATTCATACGCATTTGCATTAATTATTTTCATCCCGGCCGCGATATTCGCCGAGAGAGGAGAGGGCGCGGTGAGATCTCGCGGAGTGAACGACGACGGCGGTTCCGCGCGCCGAGCGCACCCGAGCGCCGGCGAAGCCCGCCGACGGGCCACGCGCCGCGCGCGTAGGTCGCGGCCGATCGGGACGGGATTCGTGCCGCCGATATCTCTTGTTTCGCGTAGATCCCCAACGTGTCCGCTTCCCTGCTGCGCGATCCCTCCCTCGTTGCGACTCGACGGGGCGGAACGGGGGCGAGCGCGCCGCGTCGCCTCGTTCGGCGCATTTTCGGCGGGCGGACGCATGCGCGTCTCTACCCGAGTGCGCGCGCGTACCCGTTCTCGTGCCGCGCGCGGCGGCGGCGGCCGGTAGCGTAGTTCGGCAAAGCGCGTCGAGGTAGCGGCGCGGTCGCATTGTTTTTGTCCCTCGCCGTGTCTGTCGCGCGCGCACGTACCTACGCACGCATCGCGATTCGGAAAACACCGCCGCGCGAGTAACGGAGTCCCTGCCGCGCCGCACCCGTTCACGCGCCCCCCTCGGCCTGCGCGCGGTCGGCGTCCACCGGCCCTTCGGAGCGAGCCGTCGTCCCCGCCGAGGACTGCGGGCACCGCGACATAGGTGTGGCGGGTAAGTACGAGCCGTCTCGTTATTTACGTGTGGCATGCGCGCGTAATCGCGCGCCGTATCGCCCGGCACCCGCTCGAGAGGTCCCGCGAGCAGGTCCCCCCGTCAATCCCTCCCGAGTAGGACGTTCGCGAGCGACGCGTTGCGCTCCAAGGGCGCCGTGTGTGTCGCGTCGCGCCGCGGATAGCGAGATCGTCGGCGAGCGCGTCGCGTCGCGACGCACGCACGCACGCACGCACGCCGGCGTGAAAGATCTCGGCGGCGTTTGTAATTCTTCCCCGCGCGGGCACGCCGCGTGACACCGGGATCTCGCGGACGGTGCGTTATTTTCAAACGCGGCGCACTACGTACGTCAAATCCCGGTGTGGTCGCGAGCCACGATTCGGAGCCTCCGCTCCGAATTGCGCCCGACGTTTTTCGTCCGGCGGCGGGGATTGTGCCCGAGGGTCGGGAACGCTCGCGCGTGAAATTGCGCCAAGACGAGAGCGTCTCGTACCATCGATATTTACCGTGACGTAACTATAGTCTTCCGCACGCTCCGCGAAGATAATCTCCCGCAAGCGTCCCCGCGGAGCACCTGACCTGACCTTTTGCGAATGATGTACGCGTGTAAACAGAAGCGTTGCGCTATGGGGTCCATGGGGTCAGCGATTATGATTTTTAAACATTCAGATTTGGGGGGAGGGCAAGGTAACACTTGCTGAAATAAGGTGACGTTCCTGTTGGCTGACAATTTTCACTGATGTATTCTCCGCTGGAGCAAGATTAAATATACAGGGTGTCCCCGAACGTTCCGACCAGATTTATAGGAAATTTAATTCTGAGCGAAAAGTTTGCTATAAACATGGATCGCAAAATGCTTCCTTAAAAGGTTGGCGCCCAAAACCCTCTGAAATCGCCGTTATTTTATACACTTTTACAGATATCGGAAAAGTATGCGTTTTTTGTTTGCGCGCCAACATTGTAAAGAAGCATTTTTCGACTCATGTTTACAGGAAATTTGTTGTTCGGAATTAAATGTTCTATAAGAAAGAAATTCCATGAAAAGAGTAACTTATTTATTAAATTGAAATTTCACGTAGTACGGCAACATATCGGTTTGTTCAAGCATACAAACCGGCGAGACACGTTGTCCGTTTTACAAGGTCGTGGTTAATGTAAGATCTGCTTAACATTGAAAGCAGAAAAATATAATAGATTAAAAGCGTTCACGGGGATAGAGAGGATGGATTAACCTGGCGTTGCTAGTACAAGTTTTATTCGACGTTAATCTGAAAAGATCTGAAGGAAGCACTTGGCATACTTTTACCCAAAAAATGTAATACAAATATCAAACTTGTACCGCAACTCTTTATCTTTTTCCCCTAAAAAAATTAATAGTCTTAAATATATCACCTTAATTTATTGTTTTAAAACAGTTTACCTGTAATGTTGTGCTAATTTAGACAAAACATTTCGAATTTTAAGAACAGTACACGGAGAGAGCTTTTTTTTTAATATACCCTGAAAATCATGTAATCGCGACATTTTGAAAAACTTTGAGAGTTTTTTGAAATTTTGACCATACATTTCGCTAATAATTATACTTTTACTAGTAAAATTTAAAAAAAAACTCTCATAAAGTTCTGCAAAATGCCACATTATCCTACGACATGATTTTCAGGGTAAATTTTAAGAGAAAATTCTCTCCGTGTAGTAAGAAGCGCAAAAGAATGAATGTAGAAAGAGAGGGGAAAAAGGAAAAAAAAGCGGATTTATAATTAAGGTTAATTTGAATAAAGTTATTACTTTGGGGTCCGTGGCACCCAGAGGAAGAAAAAGTACACCGAGAGAATTCTCTCTTAAAATTTACCCTGAAAATGTGATCATGGGACAACATGGCATTTCGAAGAATCTTATCACTAGTATGCTCTTATCATTAGTATATTACTAGTATACACTTAATATATATTTTACTAGTAAAATATACAGGGTGTCCTAAAACCACCGGAGGTGCTCTTAATGACAGATTCCTTAGAACATTTCCAGACGAAAATCCTAATACAAAAGTGTCGAGGCTATAATAGTTTTTAAATTAGAAGCGATTATTTTCCACAAATGATAGGGCTGAAATTTCGCGCGCTCAGGAACGGCGAAATGACAAGTGATATAAAAAGAACGATATTCATAGGAGCACTTATATCACTTGTCATTTCGCCGTTCCTGAGCGCGCGAAATTTCAGCCCTATCA